ATTTTGACTCTTCTCTCTTGATGTGAGCTGTCACTGTTGTTTCTTGTTCACATTAAGGATGACATTTAAGAACAATTTCAAACAACATCCATAATAATAATAATAATAATATAATAATAATAATCCATGTGGGAATATATGTACAACAATGTATGAAAATCAGTCTATACTGTGGGCTCATGCATATGGATAAAAGCTGCAAATGAATTATTCTTTTTGTATAATTGGGAGTCTCAGGATTTGATTACCAGAGCTAGGTGTGTGTGTGTGTGTGTGTGTGTGTGTGTGTGTGTGTGTGTGTGTGTGTGTGTGTGTGTGTGTGTGTGTGTGTGTGTGTGTGTGTGTGTGTGTGTGTGTGTGTGTGTGTGTTCTATGATATGTGTTAATATATGGTGCACATGCGACTATTCTTCTGTATGTGTCTGTGTGTTGGAATGAATATATTGGGTTGCAGTTTCTCTTTTGCGCAAGTTATCTTGGGGTGCTGCACTGATTGGCCCGGCCTGGAATGCTTTGTGGAGCCCCTAACAATGTCAGATAAGACTTCATCTTCCTCACTGGTGTGCGCGTGTGTTTCCCAATGGGACACAGCTTGACAACACGAGATTGGGATTCGATAAAGATAAGTGAGCGCTCCGTTTCATCCAGGTCACCAGGGGATTCACTTCCAACTTCTAACACAACAAAAAGCACACAGACACACATAGAAGTCCCAATGCCCCTGGCAGGCGGTCCTCCAGTGGTATCAATTAAAGAGCCGGTCCAATCAATGTCTTAGCACAAGCCTGATACTCCACTACAAGGAGATTAGGGCTAAGCTTACATCTTAACACAGAGGAGAAAACCACACAAACATCATGCAAAGACCCCCCACTTACGAAACATTACACATCACAACAGAGAGATGTTAGCACAACATCCAGCCTCCTCTTCGTCTGCTGCGCCGTTGCATCTGGCGGCGTTTGTGCTTTGAGATGCTCCATGAACAGAGGACAATAATGGAATGTGTACTTTCTGCTTCTCTCACTGTTACTTTTCTCTACTCTTGTCTCTCCCTCTGACCTAAATACTTTGGGTTTTTGATGATTGGACCAAAACAGAGATCAGATGCGTCCAGCGGGCTTGTCGTGATAGTGGAGGGAGGGAGGGAGGGAGGCTGAGGATCTGAACGCACTCCAAAAGAGATGCTGCTACTTACCACACTGTACAACAATGAGCTCATAAACCAGTCAAAACGTATCCACACAAATAGCTGAATTCATCATCTTAAATCTCACTTAAAGCCTTACCTTTCACCTTGCCGTGAGATGAAAAAGCTATCAACTCTGTGCCCTCCACCAAGCCCCCGCTAATCCTGGCCCTGGAGGGAGGGGTCCATCATTCACACGCCCCGAAGGGACACAAGAGAACCTTTGCCCTTGGCTTGTGACCACACCTTGAGATTGGAGAGGCAGTAATGCAGCAATGGCAGGCAGCCCACCAGTTAATGATCTGCTTCTTCTTCCTTGTTCCAGATAGGTAGTGCTCACCACCATCAAAGCACTGACACTTTGTCACACACACACACACTTTGTCTTTTGTGTCAAACACACAAAGGCTGGAACACAATCAAAGCAGGAAACAAAGAGGTCAAAGAACACCTCACCAGTTTTTTAAGTGCACCTATTAATTTTCATTTGATGATGTGAGGGGATGTGATAGGTGTAAGCACCGTGATGCAGTCCCCTCCAATTCCATCACCGCTGCTCCTCCGTCCTGCAGGACACGACTTCTGGTCGAAGCTGCCCGTCCTTATTTCGAGTTTCAAAAGGTTTCACTCAGGTGGAAGTATTGCACTGCTTCCTCAGCTGAATTTTTAAGTTATTGAAAAGCTGAAGGTGAGGAAAGATGAATTAGAGTTTCACAACCAAAGCATCATAGTTTTCTACTTCCCAATAATATTTTTGAAATTAAGTAACTCTATACATTGTCAGCTTAACTATTAAATTAAAATGTTAATTAAAAAAAAAAAAACCGAACCTGGTCTTCAGCAGAAGTATCCAACACAAACGCTGCAGAATCTTCATTTGCATAGAATGACACATTGTGGTGGCATGAGGGCCTGGTGCTGTTAGTTTGAGCCCGACTGGTAAATGTTGACACTATTAACACCAGTTTTCTTGCTTTTTTACTCATATGAGGAAAAACACATGCAATGTTTAAATGCACACAGGACTTTGTGATCTGAATGCACCAAACTCAGCCTCTCTCGGGAAAAAGCTACAAGTATCAGTATCTAGCAAGTCTGCCAGCCCCGTATAACTCATTTGCATTTTGAGACCTGATCACAGTGCTGGCAGATTCAAGATAAGGAGAAAGCTTATTAATACCAGGTCCCATTGATCAGATGTGATTATCCAGATAATGTATCCAGATAAAGATCACATGTTGATGCTGTAAATGAGGCCTTTGTTTAATCTCTCTCCCCTCATTTCCTTTCATCTCTACGGTCAGATCTATAATTACAGCTAGGGTTCGTATCTTGAGAAGTTAGCAAGAGAAAGCTAAAATATGAAATTATCCAATCAAACCTTCACTGGTGAAAGTAACTAGCAACATTGGCATCACTGACTAGCTGTCTCTTCATCCTTCTCCCAAAGCCAACCCCCAAAAATAATGACTATGAACATTAACATATACTAATTAACATAAACAACAAACACGGCTGCTAGGACTCGCAACCTGATAGTGAGTGCAGTGACCGTCTGGCAGAATTTGTTTAGGTAGGCATGTCAGAAACATTTATCCAGTCCATATGATTATGGGCTTATGTGGTCTTGCAACAGGCAATACTGTTTTTCTATTTTTTCTTGTCACATTTGCTGTTGGGATGTAAAGATAATAAAAAAATTAAATAAATAATTTAAAAGACATTTAGAAAATACTCTTCTCTAGTACCTATAACAAGCCACACCTCTGACTTGAATCCTTTGAAAGAAAGCACCCGATACAACTACAATAAACGTCTCTTCCATACGTTGATCAATCAAGAAACCAGTCTTTAGATCAGCTTTGTGATTTGCAGGATCAGTGAGCTAAAGCACTGCCATTCCTCACAACGGTTACCATTAACCAACCCTCAAACCACAATTAAATAATCAATCAAAGCAACCAATGACTCCATCACACTGCTGAACAGGCATCTAAACTCTCAACAATCATCCTTTAAACTGTGGCACTGACAGAGCTCTGTGTGTGTCGAGCTAGGGAAAATGGCAGAGACAAGCAAAGCACACCTCAGCCCTCTGAAGTGGCTTCCCTTCTCTAAACACTGATCTGATAAGATAGGAGCAATCCCCACCAGGAATTTGTTTTCCCCGCACTTTCACTGCAGAGCGGATGATAGCGAGGGCACGTGGAGAGAAGAAACACATTGGCTCTTGTCTCACGGCTGCACAAAGTAAAGCCAGTGAATTCCACCAGTGTCAGAATCCAGGGCGGGTTATTGGTTTTGGGCCCCAGTCAGAGTGACCCGGAGAAGCCGAACATCTGCTTCTCTTATTTGATGAGGAGGCAACAATATGTGCTTGGCAGACACCGTTAGCTCTCGCTCACACAAAAGGAGAGCGGTGCCGTGACTCAAGGACGGACACAGGCGAGAAATTATGATTGCTTCGATTCCTCTACTCATTGACTAAACACAGATTCAATTAAACCTGGCTGAAGGTCAGGAGGTAATACAATGTAAGGGAGCCTGGCACTGTGCTTAATGAAAGTTCTCATGGCTCTGGTAATATTTAATCCAATGGCTCACCCTACCTACCCCTGTTTGTCGGCCATTTATTTTCTATGTCATAACATGCTTGTCTAAGGTCTGGTCTGAGGAATGTTAGTCAAATCCCAAAGACTGGTGTCAACAAACTGTGTTACTTAGCGTTGCCAGCAGAGTTCCCGTTAGAATATTTTTTTGCCGGTCAACATGTCCGTTAAAGTTGAAATCTTCCGGACAACATTTTAAAAGTGCCAGTCAAAGGTCTTCTTTGTTATTTATTGAGCTTTAAAACAAATTGATATGATTCGATATTAAACAAACTAATTATAGTAGATTAACTATTCAAAAGTGAACAGTAATTTACAATAACACGGGAATAAACGGGGCGCTCTCTCCCTCTCCTGACAGTCCGCCAGTATCATGCAGCTCACGGATCAGTGACCCGACAGTAAAACTAAACATATCTATAACTAGTTTAGGTAGTTTGAGAGGTAATTGAAATAGCTACGTGTGATATTCTAACCTGAAGTGTGTGTTTTGTCCGCTCACCGCTGCATGTGATCATGCAGAGCTGCGTGTTGACTCGTCAGCAGCAGCTGATCTCTCTCTCCCGCCAGATTAGACTTTACTCGCGTTTATGTCCATATCGATCAGATCTAGCTAGTTCTAGCTAATGATATGACTGCCTGCTTATTAAAAGAAACCTCAACAATAAGCGTCGCTATGCAACCGGGTGAGGCCGCAAAGTATAGCGCAGCATTCCATATAGCGCAGCATTATGCATTTGTAATAATGGTAATGCCCACCGGAACCCCGAGGCATTACCAACAGATCAACGTACAATCAACCCATACAGGACATCTCTTTCTCCATATTAAGTGTTAGACATTAGAATTGACTATTCTTGTCTGTCACATACTCTTTTGTCTGTCACATAAGTGGCGCAACTGATGCGGTATTGCACTAAAAGGAAATTATTTTGACCGGACACTTTGACCGGAGAGATTTAGATTTGCTGGTCTTCAGCATATTTTACCGGTCATAGTCCGGTAATTACCGGTTACGGGAACTCTGGTTGCCAGATATAGAAAAATGATAGAGTGTGGAAAACAGTGTTGGCGACAGAGAGGAAAGGACAGATAAAGTTCAGAGAGAGGGAGGGAGAAAGGGGGGAGGTGACACAGGTGAGTTGGTTGTAAAGTACAGTGGGCGGGGAGTGGATACTATGGGAGGGAGAGCAAAACAGATAAGGAGGGAACAGGCAAAGGAATTTTTGAGGAACTGAGAGCAGCGGAGGGCAGCTGAGGGGAAAGGGAGGAGCGCCGAGCAGACACCAAGGTTACACATGAGGAGTCTTAGGAGGATTTAAACAAAGCGCAAGGAGGCAGAGAATGGAAAGAGCAGGTGGAGTTGGTTGCCTTTCAATCTTAGCTCACAGCTAATTACCACTTTCTCACTGTGGTGAAAGAAAGCAAACCGAAACTAAGTGAGAAAAACAGCAAACCGAAAAGGGCAGGCAAAAGCAAGAGAAGTGAAAGCAGAAGTAACAAGAAAAGCAAGCGAGGCGGCAGCTAGAAAGTCGGGTGCAGGAGATTAATGGAGGAAGAGAAACAAAAATAGGAGAGACGGGGCTGTGAGGAGTGAGCGAGAGAGGGAAAAAGTAGGAAAACAGCAGATACTCATTGACAGAGAGAGACTGGACTTAACTCATTGGATTACTGACATCAGCAAAACAAAGGAAGAAGAGCATCAGAAAAGAGGTCACTGTGGTGGAGCAGCAGTGCAGCTTGCCTGAGCCTGCCTACTATGCAACTGAGATAGCTGAGATAGAAACAGTTCACACAGACATTACATGTTACTTGTTAGACGCTTTTATCCAAAGCGACTTACATACTCTACTGTGGGCAATCCCCACAGGAGCAATTTGGAGAGAAGTGTCTTGCCCAGGGACACAACCACATGCTGACTGCAGCGGGGTTTGAACCTGTACTCCCCTGATCCGAACACCAACGCACTACTCCACTGCGCCACACGCCTCCCCAGACAGTCCTCTCTGTAGCTGCACCATGTTGATGAAAGAATACCGCATATGTATGCCACTGACTGTGGATGAGGTAAGTGTGTTTGTCTTTCCCACGCTCGTACACACAACCCTCCTACAAGTTTAAATTGAAAGAGGGGGGTTTTATTTCTAGTGTTAAAGTGTTGTTGACTGTTATCTGGAAAGTGTTAATGTGCTGATAAGAAAAGTGCCAACAGAGCACAGAGACCTCCTGCGGCGGCTCTGTGGGAGCTTTGGCACACTGGGGTAAGCGCGGTGTGTTCAGCATCAACAGTCTCAGCCAATCTGATGGAGCCAAAGCACAACACCTGGCCGGCAGCATCATATCGCTGCTGTTGTGTCTAAATTATCTCCCCATCTGTCGGCTTCACTACTTCCCTCACATGCGTTAGCACACCTCGCAGCGCAAAAAAAACTAGTCAGACTGGTTACGGCTTTGCAAGACCTAAACTCAAACAAAGGCCTGCAGGCTTATAAACAAAGGTGATCCCGCTTGGGGGAAAAAGAGGGACGGGAGACTGAGTTATGCGTCAAAGTGCCCTTCAAAAGGAACGTCCTCATCACATCCCAGTGCTTTCCCTTCCCCCTCTACAAGTCTACCTGTTACCACAACAATGACAAATAGCAGTCCAAAATAGGATTTACAGTATCAGTTCAGGGCACAGAGAAACTTGAGCTGCCAGCAAATCCTCTTTCGCCTGAATGTAATGTAAGTTTAAGTGCAGCTTATTTGAGGCAGTATCAAATCGTGAGTTACCTCAGTCCAAGACATTAACAAAGGCCTTACCCTTGCCTTCCCTTTATACATTTATTAATTTATAAAGGGAATGGTGTAGACTTTCACGTGTGAAATATCCAAGAAGTAGTTCAGTGGTAACACAATACAGCTTAGTGTGTCTTAGGGAATGTTTGCTATGGTGTCCTGCTGTGGGAAAATCTGGCCAGGGGCGGCTGCAGCTCAGGTTGCATAATAGTGGGTAAAGCCCCTTTACCACTCCAAAAAAAACACAAAATAATAATGCTAATCTTTATTTAGGGTGTCCATCTGTAACAACTTGGTGATCATCGTAAAACAAGATTGACAGACACAAAAGAAAACTCATAAGAACTGATTCAGTGCTCCAAAAATCACCAGGTTACCAACTCACCAACTTTGAAATTTGAAAGAGAAACTGAATAAATAGCAGATATAAAAACCGGTATGCAGTTCAAATGTTACATGTTTACCGACAATGCTTCTGTTGCTAGCCAGCCCGTGTGTGATGTCTTACATGACACACCTATAAAAAGACATCCGAAATGCTCTGCTTAATGGTGAAGGAGTCACCTTTTTTTTGTTTTCAAACTTCTTGTGCACGTGCTGAATGAGTCCTTGAGCCGCCCTGTGGTTGTCACTTTGCACAGAAGCAACTTCATGATAAGTTGAAGCAGCATAGAAGGAAGATTAAATGTGGCTTTCTTGACACTGCTCAAAAGAAAAAGACTAGACTAGGCAGGTGTACAGATGTGTCATTCTCTTCTCATACCCTTTCCGTTGAGCTGAGTACACAATTAATTAAAAATATTTACAAAGGTGTTTGTGTTTGTCTTGCAAAAAAAGGCTCATTGTCTTTGTCAGCGGACAGATCTAGGGTTACATAACAAATTCTAGTTTTTGCTCTTAGCATTTGATCACTGGATATGAAAGTTGCCACAAGCTTTACTTTAATCATATCATCTTTCATTTCCAGTTGCTATCAGACTGACACTATCTGCAGAGTCTCCACCCCACCATGATGAGCTATATTTACACTCAGGAAGTCATGACAAATTCACAGCTTGTTAACTTGACTTTATTTTTGTTGGAGGAGAAAGTATGCCAAAAGCTTTCGATAAATGGTTCTATCCACACATCATTCATCAAAAGGCATGCACATTGCATAATAATAGTGATTGGAGTACGTTTTCTAGACAGTCAAAGAGATTCATAACCTGTGTGGGAGGAGCTCGCTGCTCGGTAGTCTGTTAGCCTTGAGACGGTGTAAAAGCATCCATCGCTGTGATTAATTAAGTCCCATGAATACCCAATAAGTAAATATTGAATGTTGACATTACACTGTAATTGGAATAAGGAGGAGGAGAGCCACAATGATGTCAACATTGCACAGTGAAGGATAGCAAATTGAGATCTGCCCTCCTCTTTCCCTCTGCCTCCTCATCTTCCACTTTTAATTAAAAAAATGCTTTAGTGGCACAACAACACATAGGGCCCAATGAGTTACAGTATGGTGGCCACAGCACAATCGTTAGTGGTTTGCAGTAGAATTTGTTCATATTGTCTTTAAAAGTTTGCAATTAGAGGGAACACAATGATGTACAGCGAAACAATGTTGAGGAGGAAAAGACAGAAAGTAGCATCAGTGCAGAAACTGAAGTATTATCGTGTAAATGGTTCAAAAGGAAACTGAATCAGTCAGGCCGCTCCAGATGCCCAAAGGCCTCGTCCTCTTTAGACTCGCTAAGAGAAACACTCCCGCCTCATCAGCATCGAGCACATACTGGGTCTGCAGCAGAGAACAAAGTCCCATCCCCCTCTTTAATTTAGACTCCAGTCGTTCACCCTCACCGGCCAAATTAAATGTTGATGTCAGATATGGTCACTTGAGGGAAACCTTTATACACAGCTAGTAACTGTTTACAAAATGGAGAGCAAATACAAAGCGGGCTTCTAAGCAGCACTGAGTAAGTGCCTGTCGAGACAAAATCACACTCAGCAACTATGGCTGAACCTGCTGCCAGGACATTTTTCTGTCATCAGTCATCACTCCCAACCTCTTCCTCTAAGTCGTTGATGGTTATTATAATTTCCTCGATGGAGTAAGCGGTTTATTGACTAGTTGTGCTGGTATTATTGATTGGTTATTGAAGTCCTTCAAATGTAATATCACCTTGTGGCGTTGAGAAATGTTCTCCGACACCTTCGGTTTAAATGCTTCTTAAATGTGAAGTCACTTACATTTTATTTAGACAGCTTAAAATCACAAACTGGCCTCAAAGGACTTTAAAATGTCACACCAAAAAGAAGAAAGGAAAAGGCAAAAACGTTGTAACGGCAACAGAGGAGGGATCAGTCTAACAGGGCAAGAAACCAAGCAATCAATGTTGTATGTACAGAGCAAGGGGAAATAACAGTAAAATAAAAAAATGTAAACGGAGCCAACTTTGAGAACATATTGCATTTCACTGACATTGCACTTTCTCCATGTGTACGCCTACTTCTGTTAAACTACATTTTTGCATTAAGCATTACCCCACACCTTGTCTGTTTTCGGGGGCACAGTATTTATACCTCAACATGCTGATGGCCCAACCAAATCAAGAGAGGCTGTAACTGAAAAACCTCTGTGGGACACTAATCCAGCAAGTGTGCTTTTTATTGATTTTATAAAGTGAGGGTTGTTTCAAAAGTAAAGTAGTATTATTTTAGGATATCAGAGATAATACAATCAAAAATCACTTCAATTATATTTCGTCACCTTGGATGGCTTTTGATGATTTTGCTTCGTGCTTCATGTTTTCTCATCACTGTTTTTGTCTCCCTCTCTTCCCCCTCCCCATCTTCATACACCCTCGTTGAAAACCTCTCCCGGGCTCCAGTACAGGATTGGGCAGCTGTACATGATCAGTAAGCACAGCTGTGAGCAGAGTGGTGGTGGAGAAGGGGTGGAGGTGATGAGGAATGAGGCCGACATGCACCCGCAGCACGGCCAGGGTCAGCTGACCGAGAAGCGGATCTACCTGAGCAGGTAGAGTGCACATTGATTGGATTTATGTACTAATGAGGCACTAAAACTAAGAATCCTGGTGATTTGCAACCTGAGCCTTATCGTCTACTCTGTCATTATGATAACAGATTGTGTTTGAACTTTGATCTCTTACTTCACTGTGTATTGCAGGTATTACTACAAACAAGCAATAAAACATTGTTTCAACACAGAAACTCTCATACCGCAGTGTGATGTTCCCACATATCGAGGAACCCAGTTACTGATGTTGAGGCCCATTCTAGTCTGGGTTACAGTAGACATGTTATTGTACCATGAGCTCATCACAGTAAACCTTCAAGAGTTGAGGTTTGTACAAGTACAGACTCAGCTTAGAGCAACACGTCATCATGGGAAAAACATTTTCTGAGCCATTGGAGGCTGGACACACTTTAACAATGTGTGCTCATGAAAAAGAAGTAGAAGTTCATATATTAAAATGATTGTGACATGTTAATTATCATGGATTTAACAAGCATTGGTAACAACAATTATAAAGACTTACTCAATGTCATAACAAACTATAATGAAGTTTGAAGCAGTGTTTAATAAAGAAAAAGATGGACTTTGGGAGATGGCGCAAGTTAGATGAGAAGATTGGCACAATAATGCTTTTACATCTGTACGTTTAATATGGAAATGGAGAACATCTAGCCCAGCTCTGTCATAAGGTAACAAAGTCTGCATACCAGCTCATCTAAAGCTCACTAATAGCCTACATTGCTTGTTTAAAAATGTTTTAAAAAGTGAAGAAATAACAATTTGCTGATTTGTGGTCGTTTATTTCCTGGACTATTGGCTGTGAGCAGTTGCCAGGTAACCATGCAGTGGACACTCCATATGTCCACAGAGCCCTCCATAAAAAAGCAACATTTCACTTTAACACTGCAGTTTTGGGCATATTAAACACCTGATACAGCAGATTGTGTTGTCTTCACAAAGAGTCAAGCTAGCTGTTTCTATGCTAAGCTAAGCTAGCCAGCTGGCTGTAGCTTCACATGAGAGCGGTATTAATCTTTTCATACATCTCTCTTCCAGAAAACAAACTGGAACATTTCCCAAAATGTCAAACTATTTCTTAAATGTGTTTGTGCACAACTATGACTCCTCTAATGATTTATTAACCAGGAGTGTATTATGTAAAATATCTCTGAAAGCTGAAGCTCTACAAGAAATCTATTAAGAAAATCTTTAATTAAAGTTTTTTTTAAACTAGTTCCTAAGACAAAGTTTTACATTTGTCTGTTAATACACACATTCAGATTTACAAATGTCCTAATATGTATTTAAAACATAATTCATTATAAATCATGAATTAAGTTTTAAGAAATGCTTATAAACACTAAATAGCGAGGTATTAAAATAAAGCAACACCCAAAGACATGTTCTTTTGCTTCAAGCTGCAGTCCTCAACATAAACAAGGAAGTATGTGAGACATGTCAACACTTAAATGTTCCAAAGTATTCCAGTCTACTGCAGGAATTTGAAGCTATGCATGGCAGCCTTGTCCATGTTGTTGTGCTGAAAGAAGTGGTTTATTTGCTTTATGTTCAGCGTTACAGACCATTAATCAATACATTTTGATAATAGAGAAAGCTCAGTCTAAAAACAACCAGAATTATGTTTTAATTCCAAATTCATTCCCTAAGCCTAAACTAACCTTACTAACTCCTCACCCAAATGTAACCTCAACTCTTTTCCTAATCAACACCATAAACCCAAGGCCTAATGTGAGATGTAATAAAGAAATTCATAGACAAGTTGAAAGGCGTATACAAAAATATATTTTAGTCTATTTTTCTTTCACAGTAAAGCAAAGCAACAAATGTGAAAGAAAGACCAAAAGTAATAGTAACAAAACTACCAACGCCCTTTCCCCGACATCATTTAATGAAAGAATGTTTGTGTGGTTTTGACAAAGGCAAACTCAAATAGTATCCCTCAGATAAATATGCATTCAACCAAGATAAGTTATCCCTTATCTCAATTATTAAAAGCCATTATCAGATAGTATTGCTAGTATTTGTATAAAGGTGACATACGGTAACATTATGCTTTGTTACCTGCAGGAATTATGCTTGATGGCCCTGTCCATGCTCTTGTGCTGATAGAAGTGCTTTCGTTGCTTTTTTTCAGTGTGACAGGCTATTAATCAATGCATTTTTATTATAGAGAAAGCTCAGTCATAAAAAACAACAACCACAATTCTCCTTTATCTCTGAATTCATTCCTTAACCCTAAACTAACCTCACTCATTGCCCTAATGTAACCTCAACTATTTACTAATCACCACTCTAAACCCAATGCGTAATCCTAAAATAAACTCTTACAGAAGTAAAGGAATGTTCTCACTGTGGAGGATTTTCCTAATCTTTCTGTGCTTGTGGGACATTTGGTCCTCATTAGTAAAGATATGCTGGAACCCACACACACACAGACACACTCACACGCAGAGTATAGTGAGTGCATTTGACTTCAATCATTTTCTTGACATGTGCCTTGGAAGCTACAGTAACAATTCATCACCACAGGTGTAATTGGGAATGAGTCATAAAAATGAATGCTGTGGTGAGAGTAGCCTACAGGTAATCCGGCTATAAATGGCACAAAAACCACTTAGGCTCTCTCCGTCTCCCTCTATAATCTCTCTCTCCTACTATTCCTCTTTCCCACTCTCTAAAAGCGACCCTTATTTCTTCCCATTTTGCATTCAGTAAACTGCCAGCCTGGGCGAGAGCATTTGCCCCGCGATTCTTCTACGTGACGGAAAAGGCCTGGAACTTCTACCCGTACACCATCACAGGTTTGTGTTTGAGCGACTTTGTGTTAAACATAAATTAACTTTCACCTCGATGCATTATACAAAACTTATTTACTTTTAACAGCTGGTTTGCCAAGTGGCATCAAATATGCATCACTATGTTTGCATGTAATTCCCCCGTGGTCATTGTATGTTGTGTGAGACCAATTGCGTGCTCATGCATGTATGAGTAAACTAATGCCGTTTCTCTCCCTTTCATATTGAACGTCCCTGGTGCTGCAGAGTACTCAGTAAGTATTCTCACACATCATTTACTGTACATGAATGCAACAGAGCTCATCTCTTTCTAGTATCAGTGGATCTAATCTGCAGCATGCATTAACCTCTATCTCTGCCCCTTTTTTCTCCTTTTTTACCTCTTGTCACCCCGTAGGTATCATTCCTCCCCAAGTTCAGCATACGCATTGAGACGAGATTTGAGAACAACAACGGCGATAACGACAATGTGAGTATGAGAGGGAGCGAGGGGTGAGAAAGATGGAGTGATTATGGAAGAGGGGGAGGAGAAAGACAAGGCGCAAGGAGAGAAATTGCAATTTTCTCTGCAGCGCAAAGAAAATGTTCATCACATTGATGTGCAAATTACAAGGAGGACAAGCAAAACACATAATGCAGTGTTGGAAGATCTATTAACCAGACATGCAGCGGCGGTGCGCACGGACGCCATGCTACATTTTGACCAAGGGGAACACACACAAACAGATATTCAGTAACAAAAGCAACTCTGTCTGTGCCATCAACAACACAATAGATAAATAACAAGAACACTTTGAGTTCAGCTTTAGAGAAAAATGTGGTGCGTCTCGTTTCATGTCATGTTGTCACAGGGCACTAAAGTTCAAACAAACACAAATTCATAAAGTTACGGATTCACTTGAGGACTGTCCTTAAGAACACATATGAGGTATTAAAGTGTTTTCTTTTTATGCTTTTTTTATATCTCCATTATATTTTTTGAGGAAGATATAAATCAATAATATTGTTTAGTTTTTACAGCTGTTATCACTCGTTACAAATTACGTACTACTAGGGCTGCTCGATTATGGCAAAAATCATAATCTCGATTATTTGGGTCAATAATTGTAATTGCGATTATTAAAGGCGATTATTCATTGACTTTGAAAACATCCATTTATTGGAGAAAAAAATGTGAACAGTATGTTTTTAACAGTTGATTACCCTGAACTTTAAGTATAATTCAACTGAAAAACAACAACACAAATTATTTTTAAAAAAAAGTAATAATGATAAAAAAATAAATCGTTTTATTTCGATTATGTTGTTTTCGTAATCGTTGCAAGCCATAATCGTAATCACGATTAAAATACGATTAATTGAGCAGCCCTACGTACTACACACTAGGGCTGTCCCGAATACCATTTTTCGGGCTCCGGATATTCGGTAGTAATCAACAGCGAATATTCGAATATTCGGTGCGGAGAGATCTTCTTTTTTTTTTTTTTAATAAAACAAATTGTTTTCCAAAAAAATGCATAACATGCTCCGAGACACCTGACAACACGCTGTTAAGCAGAAGCGCAGAAAGAGCATACTATTACAATTTATATTTATTTATTGTCTCAGTACTCGCATTCTTTCACACACACATACGGGTTTTGGGCCGAGGGCGACACCGCACTTCCGGTATCCACCATTTCACACGAGGTGCAAGCAGAATATCATAGTCTATTGCCTTAATCAATATCTAGTCAACTCTAAAATACCACATATATGCAATGGCATGATAATATTATTGTGACAAGTGGGGTATTCACCTGGTGTTTCTAGAAGATAGACGTAGATGCTGCCAGAATCGAGCGAAGGCCACTTTCGAGAGTCGTTTTTCCATACATCTGCAGGCAGTCTGTAAGGGCAATCGGACAACCCACACAGCTCTAGTTTACGCTGGTAACGACCTGGAGCACACCCCTCAAGTCCAGAGATGTAATCCGAAGACATGCAGCGATTTCTTCGGTCGTTAATTCAGAAAAAAAAACTAGTGCGCTCTGCCTGGCTACGTTAGCTAGCTGTTTATATTTGCACCTCCAGGATATTAGCACCTCCAGGAAAATGGCGTATTTATATATATGGCGCGCGTTGCATTGTGGGTAGCTCGTGACGTCACTGTGTGAAAGAATAGCCTACATTAAAACTAAATGTGTCCTCTGCATTTAACCCAACCGCAGCGCAGCGCCCGGGGACCAAATCTGGTTCCAAATTCCGTCTATAACGTTTTACAACCTGAAGATACAAAACACATATTTCTGTTATAACAACAATACTTTTAATAACATAGCCGTAACAGTAGGCCTAACAGTGTAATACTTGTTACCGATACAGTAAACAGTATTTAAATAAATGAAGAACGAAAAATAAATGAACGAACTGTATGCCAATAATTGCCTTAGCCCCAGATGTTCCACATTGCTCCTATTATTTTCACTATTCGGATAAAATTGAAAAACTAATATAAAAAAACAATTCGGTTGCTTGCTTGCAACTATTGTCCAAGCAAAGTAAGTGCACGATTTTATCATGTGTAACGTTACTGTTTAAACGGCGGATAAAGCAGCTTCATCATGGCAACTTGACAACAGCTAAGCTAGGCTAGTATTTACAGCATCCGGTGACTTTTCAGAGTTGTCGTGCCACCGTGGTAGGCCAGTTTCTTGTCGCATATTTGGCACACTGCCTTCTTCTTACCGTCGTCCAATTTAAAATGGTCCCACGCAGCTGAAGTCTTCGGCATTTTGTGTTCAGGTGTGTGAAACGAGGTGAAGCGTGCCGTTTGCGTTCGTGACTGTGAGTGAACAGTGAGTGTATAGATTTCCGCATTTTAATAGTGCAATTCAAAAGTATAAATATAGTATAAGAATATGGCAATTCGCCTTTATTGATAGCATACATTTAGGGGGGGAAAAAATATTTTTTTGAAAAAAAATAAAAAAACGAATATCCGAATAATGAAATTGAAACCCGAATAGTTGGCCAACGAACGAATATTCGAATAGTCGAATATTCGGGTACAGCCCTACTACACACACAACATATATCAAGTTATAAAATATGGCAATTAGTTATATATATATTGAACTACCCAACAGTTTCGTTTCAGAGCCAAAACAATTAGTCTATTTTGATAATTGTTTACATCCTGTTCAAATGCCAAACACAGAGACAGCGTCATGCTCTGAGCAGAAAGTAAAAAGCAAAACAATAGATCCAGAAAATGCACCTCATTCCCTAAAAGGGAGAAAGACCTTGGATTGACACAGACCAACAACAGCACCACAGGAGCGTGGCGGGCTATTATCTAACGGCAGGTTTTCCTTATTTGTTAGTTTTCAACTGTGAAATGAACAACTTCAGCGGGGCATTAGAACACATTTTAAACAAGGTCAGATTAAAGTGCGGCCCCCTCTCTCTCCCTAGCTTCCATCCATTCTCTCTCTCATTGAAAAATGTATTCTGCTCTCATACTGTAACTCTTCTTCTTTTCCCCCCCATCTCTTCTAATATCTCTCATACGTCCTTGTTTTTTCTTTTCCCTCCCATCTCCCCCTCCTTCTGTTGTCTCCTGTGTTTGCTCCAGTGTGATTTGCTCCAAGGGCCTCGGGGTGGGATAAAGTGAGGAGTGTTATGGTGTGTGACCTCAGTTTTCTACACTGTTACTCATCTACTCTCACCCCCCTCTCCTCTGAGTGAGTGACTGTATGCGTGTGAGAGTATGGGGGGTGTATGTGTGTGTGTGTCTGCTCTCATTATACTGTATGACCTCCCCCATCTGTTTGGGTGTAGGTGTTTGGGGACACACCAACTCCACCAGAGAATGTGAGTTTCCTGGATATCCTGAGTGACCCCATTCCTGAAAGGCACTACAAAGAGTCAGAGGTACGCATCGTTCTGACGCAAACATGTTTGTTTTGTGTGTTTTTGCAAACAAAAAAGCTATGAATTCACTAAAGGAATAGTTCAGCATTTTAAGTAAACTCTTGGAGTTACACGGAAAGATCAATATCACATATATTTTCAAATCTCGAACCCCGCAAATGTTAGGCCCATCCCTATGTCCAGCTGTAGTCGTTCTTAACCACGCATGGCATTCACGAAAAGTTTCAGTCTGGCTTCAAACCTATACACAGCACTGAAACAGCCCTTTTAAGAGTTTTTAAGGTAGCCCTGCTGTCCTGGTGCTGTTAGACCTGACAGCTGCCTTCGACACTGTGGACCATAGCATCCTGCTGTCGCGGCTTGAACAGTCCGCAGGCATCACAGGCTCTGCCCCTTTATGGTTCAGGTCCTACCTGACAGACTGTAGCTTCTCAGTGCAGCTAGGTGCCTTCTCCTCTGCTAAAGCCCCTCTTACCTGTGGGGTTCCCCAAGGCTCTATCCTGGGCCCCATCCTCTTTCTACTGTACATACTGCCCCTAGGTTCAATTCTCACTTAACACAGTGGTCTCCCTTCCACTTTTACGCCGACGATGTACAGATCTATCTGCCTCTCAATTAAAATATCAATAACTCATTACAGCCGTTGATGGACTGCTTGACAGAGATCAAATCCTGGCTGAGCAAAAACGTCCTTAACCTCAACAAGAGCAAGACAGAGGTAATCTTTTTTGGACCCCAACCTCCAGCATCTCCGGTTGATATTCTGGGCTCTCAATAAAAACATCCTCCCCACTGTTATGAACCTTGGAGTGACCTTCAATAGTGCTTTTAAATTCGATAAGCAGGTCAGCTCCATAGTCAAAACCAGCTTTTATTTAAATAAGAATATTGGCCAAGACTAGGGATGCTCCGATCGATCGGCCTCTCTATAAATGCCGATCGGGAGAGCCAATCACATGACGTAAAATACATGACACTTTTCTGTGGGTGGCAAAACAAGCTCGCCAAAATAGCTTCACCAGTCTGGCAGTATTTGAAGGTGTCCGAAAAAGACAGTAAAATAGCGGTATGCAACGTGTGTGGAGCAGAAATCCTGCAGCTCTGCCCGCTGTGATGGACCAGTGAAACACACACTAAGAGTTAGACCTAACACACTTAGCTATTTTATCTACCTCTGGAACTAGCTAAACTAGTTATAAATATGTTTATTCTTCACTGTCGGGTCACTCATTACTGGATCAGTGAGCTGCATGAGATAATGACAGGCTGTCAGGAGAAAGAGAGAGAGGGGGAGAGAGGAAAAGAGAGCGCTTCTGCTAATTTCTCCCAGGTTATTATCAAAAGTGAATGTAAACTTGAATAATGTACTTCATTTGAATATAATAATTATGTTGGTTGTTGTTTGTGGAAGCGCCAGTGAATGAGCCCCATTAACTGAGTTTAAACATCACTTTAAATGGAAGATCCCCATAGCCCCCACCCACTCGATCGGATCGGTATCGGGCGATACTGATTCTGGCGATCGGCCCCAAAATTGGCGATCGGCGCATCCCTAGCCAAGACCAAGTCGTTTTTATCTTTTAAAGACCTAGAAAGGGTTATTAATTCCTTTGTTACCTCGAGACTGGATTACTGCAACGCTCTGTACGTGGGTATGGACCAGGCCTCATTTAAACGCCTGCAGTTAGTCCAGAACGCAGCTGCGCGTCTTTTGACTGGACACAAAAAACTTGACCACATCACCCCAATTCTGGCCTCATCGCACTGGCTTCCAATTCGGTTCCGAATTGATTTAAAACTCCTTTTATTTGTTTTCAAAGCCCTAAATGGGCTGGCTCCGGCTTATAGCCGAACTCCTCCATCGCCACACCCCTGCCAGAGCTTTAAGGTCGGCTGACCAAGACCAGGCTCAAAACCTGAGGGGACCGAGCCTTCGCAGCAGTCTGGCCCTCCATGTGAGGTCGGCCGAGACCCTAGGCGTTTTTAGATCCTCACTGAAGACACACTTCTTCTCTCTGGCCTTCTAGTCAGAGCTGAGTACGACACCTGACATTTCCCTGTGTTTTGTTTTTATATTTCTGTTGTAAATTATTGTCTTTTCTTGTTATTGTAGTAAAGTGTTTTTATTACATGTACAGCACTTTGGCTCGACCAAAAATCGTTTTTTAAATGTGCTCTATAAATAAAACTTGATTTGATTTGATATATTTGTATTGGATGACACAGGCGTGGATTTTCACCTGTGATGTTTCCCCTTCAATAACTTTGCTTTACTTTCTAGTGTGGTTTTGCTACTAAAAGAGCGTAATTCTCACTATCCTCTTAAATGTAAATTGTCGCTCCACAAAGGCTTCACATTTCTTTACTCCCATCAAGTCTTTAGGATCAAAGGCCAATTCACAGGCCTGGGCACATAGAAGCATACAGACCAGCACACATGCATGCAGACAAATACAGTAAGCAAACACCCCAATCTCATAAAATGAGAGACAGTGAGGAGGTAAAATCACAACCGCTCTCATAATGTGTGCTATCTCACTTTCAATCCCACGGGCTGAGCTGAGGAAACAATCTGCTTGCACCTCCACACACATAACATCAGGCTCAAACAAACACCACTCACAACTGCCATCTACAGATCCATAGCTTTCCTTCCCCCCAAGATGCTTTACACAGGGCCAAAGTTTTCTGCAGACTCAGCGAGTAACTTATAGACCCACTGTTTACCCCGTGCAGGACCCGAGTCGCTGGATGTCAAGTAAAACTGGCCGAGGGCCTCTGGAGAAAGGATGGAGGGACGACCACAAGCCCATCATGTGCTCCTATAAGAGGGTGCAGTGCAGCTTCGAGGTGTACGGCTTCCAGACAAAGACCGAAGATTTCATACACAAAGTGAGACGGAGCTTTTTATTCCTCTACTGATTCATTAATGTTACAAGCCCATATAGGGTGTAATACAAGGTTGGAAAACAAAATGTATACTAATGGGAATTTAATGAAATGCTTAGCTTCATTCAAGCATTGATTTCTGCATTTTTGAGTCTTTACAGTAAAATGATGATCCTGAATAATCCTGATCTGTCATTTGTTATTCGAATGAGC